CATATAAATAATTTATTGAGTTATTAAGATATTTACATTGATACATTGATTAACATAAATATACTGACCCACACTCTGAAGCCCTGATGAATGTGCCTGTTTTGTTTATAAATTCAGATAATTATATTACACAACATAATTGAATTACACTTTGATTTTCAATTGAAGGGCAGTTGACTGTGAAACTGTCATACAAATGGACGTGATGTCATATTGCTGTCATATGATGGTAAATGACAGGTGGAAGTGTGTCAGATTATCTATTTATACATTTGATTACAGTTGACAACCCTCTGTGAGTTCAGAGTTTGCCATCAATTGAATTGTAATATCTAATTCACCTTGTTATTTCCATAAAAAAAATCTATTTAGAGATCAATTTTTCGAAGTCGCAGTAAACTTGTATAAATAAAATATCCGAGTAGGTCTAACTGTTAAACACACATTTAAAAGTTTTGTTAGTTATGTTCGTGAGTTTTTGGTAATTCGTTTCAAGCCTAACAATATTTTAAACAATCGTCTTTTTTAGAAAGATAAGTGGTAATGGGTGTGTGGTGTCTTAAAATCTGAAGGTCGATTTTATTCTGAGATTGATTATGAGTGACTACAGATTACATTTGTCTTTGGGCTACCAAAAAATGATGCAATTTAACGGAAAAAACAGTCCAGAATTGGACCATACAATTATAAAATACCCCCGCCGCAGCAAACCTGCCGACTAAGCGAATTTCCGTTTGTCTGAATTGGTTTTCAATCAAATATATTTCAATAACATTAGGTTTAATAGTACCATAGTACCTAGGTTTGCTGCTACAAGGACACTAATAAAGTTTGTTTTTAGTAAAATATTAATAGCTTAGTATAAAATAAATAAATTTGCCAAGTTTGATCAAAATATATCCATAAACAAGCAAACTACAACATTTTACGATATTCTCCATTTGAATACGGTAACATGGGAATTTTAAATTTACATTTCTTTTAATTTTATCCGTTACTAATAAACATACAAAAACACTTGATATACTAAATTATTTATTTTTTTACGCTCTACAAAATGGTTTGGAAAGAAACTATGAAATTTTGTGTTTTAGGCTCAAAAATGGGAAAATCAATTTTCACCCCATAAACCCCCGTTCCATAGTCCGATTATACTGGTTCACGAACTCGTTCGAATTATTTATTTATTTATTTATTATCATTCCAACGGCAGAGCCATTTGAAAAAAAGGCAACAAACAGTTTCCAACTTAACACAAACAATGTGACAATCGAAAGAACAATAGAAAAATCAACAATAAATAACAATAAAGTTAATAACAATATAAATAAATGACAAAATAAATAACAACAATATAAATAAATAACAATATAAATAAATAACAATATAAATAAATAACAATATTAATAAATACAATATAAATAAATAACAATACCCGTTACAATAAATATGTAAATGAATATAATGAATGCCAAAAAATTAAAATAAATAGCGTAAGGCTGAATAACAACAAAAAAATTTGATGGTGAGACAATCATCGAAAAAGTTCGATTAAGCAATTTCATTCCGTTGCTCGCCAAGGACAGTGAGGAACTTTCTTCGAGCTAGTTTGAAGTCGTCGAAGAAGAAGTCCACTGCGCTTGACACCGTGTTTCCCAGGCGAAGAATCCTAGCGAGTGGACTGTTGGCGTCATAGGATGTTGACCTGAAGCCGGCCAAAAAATGCTCTGAGACAAGTTCTGCCTGGAACCCTGATGTCGATCTCCAGAATAAGCTCGGAGCAACTGAGAATGCCATTCATGATCTTGTATAGGAGACACAGGCCATCAACATCTCTTCGAAGGTCTAAAGGATGCAATCCCAGCATCTGTGCACAGTCGTCCACGGGAGCGTCTCTATAGGAGTAGCCATTTCTAACACAGACCAGACGAAGAAATCTTTTCTGGATGGCGTCCAAGCGTTGCCTGTCGAATTCCGTGTAGGGCGACCAGACCACAGAAGCATATTCAAGACCTTGTCTGACTAATGCGCAGTACAGAGACTTCAAAGCATGGGCTTTTGAAAAAAAAAGACTTTTGAAAAAAAAGCTCGCTTTTTTGACCTGGGAACAACGGATAGAGTACCTTGTGTGAATCGTATGATGAATCCCAGCATTTTGTTTCCTTTCTTGGTAACATGGTCCACATGATCTCCAAACCGTAGGTCGTGTGAGAAAATAATTCCTAGGTCTTTGATGGTCGTGGTTCTTGGAATACTGTCTACTCCCAAAAAATACAAAAAGATGAGCGGATTAAGAGAGCGATGGTACGTTATAACAGAACATTTGCTGGGATTTATCTTCATATTATTGTCCTCACACCATATCATAACCTTATCCAGGTTCATCTGTAACTGTGCAGCGTTATTGTCAGAAGACACCTCGCAAAAAAGCTTCAGATCATCGGCGAACATGAGTTTACCAACGTCCATCTAAATAAACGTAGGTTTACACATTTGTACCAAATTTAATCAAAATCGGATATTTTTGCTCAAGTTATCGCGCTAATGGACATATCTATATATATGAATTTGAACGGATAGTGTTTTGGCCTCTGGGGACCTCAAAACGAAAAAGGAAATCGGTACCAGGTCTAGGGTTTGCCATGAGACCTACGGTAATAGCTTATTCCCTATAAGGAAAATTCGCTTATATTCCCTATATGGGAAATTCGCTAAAAACCCATAAAAATTACAGTAGATAAACACAAAATAAATAATATATGCCACAAGCCTTGTAATTTAGTAGCAGTAAAATTGATTTTATCACAATTTTAATTTACCATTAATTTTTTATTTGAGTACAACTGGGAAAATAATTCCAATCCAAAAGTTTACTTTTGTGTGTCGCCGTAATGTTTATGTTCATCTAATGATCTAACCATACATTTAGTGATTAACTTATAGCCTTGTATAGAAGGCTGTGACATACGCCTCCTAGCCTTTGCTAATTACTGTCTCCATGTTGCTAATTGGTACAATTAGTGGTAATGTATCGCTCAGCCTACAACCATTACAACCTACCAGGCCATTAGGGTCTACACGTAGCTATTAATCTTGGCTTCTAATGGGTCAACCTGCCTAAGGTGGCAATCGTTTCTGAATTATTTAAATAATGGTTCAAAGATTGTACATTTTATAACATGAATTTGTTGAAAAAAAAAACACTATGAGGTTTAAGAGATGGAAATACCTCTGTGGGAAGGAAAACTATTGATTTGTTCTCATAATATACTAAATTTGGTTAAATCCAAATTTACAATCAATGATTTTACAAACTACCTGGGTATACGAATTGTCTAAAATCTGAATTGCCTTCAAAATCTAGAAGTCAATGGTTCGATTCCTCGAGAGATGGTTTCTGCACTCAAATGTCATCGCGTTAAATGGTCAACCAGGGTTTTGGACCACTCCTCTACAACAAACGTAAAAAATGCTGATGGCAAAAACATAATATGAAAGTGCAAAGTTAAGCTGAGTATAAACATATTTTTTGACTTTGAACAAGCACTTCCTAATTTAAGGTAAGCAAATCAGCGTCTCATTCGGGACAAACAGGTGATTAGTATGACTCTGCATCAGCTGACTCAGGAGTCAGGTGACTGACGAGATCTCATCAGAATCATACAGACATGAATAAACATTTTCTGTCAGTTCCCTTGCTGGAGAACCATTTAACTTATTCCTATTTTAATTAGTTTCAACTTATGGTTTTTTGATTGTAATTAAATAAAGTCTATTTGTTGTGGCTACTTTTCTACTTGGTAGAAATGTGTTTATAATATAAACAAATTTTAAAACACACTTATCCCTACAAAAATAACATTTCAGTGAATCCATCCCTCACAAAAATTGATTATAATTTTAAAGAGTAGTTTTTAAAATACAAACAAATATAGGCTTATTGTTTGAACAAAGATACAGTTTAGAATTTAACCTTTTGATTTCAAAATTATAACATATTTTGACGGCTATTGGATTACTATGACAAATTCTTTAGCATAATAATAAATAAACACCACTGACTGTAGTTTGGTGTTGACTGTAGTACCTAATCTACCTTTTAATTTGTTTCAAATTACATGTAGGTAAAGTGACATGTACAACCAATTTAGATTACATTACAAGGTATGTTAGGCTAAAATTCACTTTGCTATCCTTTGTAATAATTCATTAATTTGGTCGTTTCTGAATTTTAATTTAAGATATTGTCAGTGAATGGTGACAGTTATATGACAGTAAAATATATTGTGTACAATTATGTTATGCACTCAATATTTTCTTAATTCATATATTGAACTTGTTATGCTGGATGTTGAACTCGTTAAACATTGTACAAGTTTAAACATAAGACATAATTGTGGCCCAAAACAGAATTAACATACCACAATATAGGAGCCATGCTCATTATCAAGCCATAGTCATATCCTCTTTTCCAAGAGCCCTCTAATGAGCCTAATGTGCTTTCTTTAATGTGAGAATCTTCTCCTCGGCTCTCCCACAAGTTTCACTATCACGTGCGACTTTCATGTGACTTTTAACCCAGAGCCAATTATTTCGCTAATTTACTTTTCCCAATTATAAAACTGAGATAGGAAGTGACACAACATCATTGTTTTATGTGTGGGTGTAATGAAAACAAACACTGGAAATGAATTAATTATGAAGCTTTTTGGTGAAGTAAAATAAGTTTTTAAAGTTTATTAAATAATTAATCGATTAAGTAGGCCTACATTATTTTGTTGGTTAATGTTACCTAATTATGTTTTTAATCACCTATCGCTGTTCAAAGTTGAACCCAGTACACGATTAGAAATAGACAAGATTTTTGTAAGATATGGACACAAATCATATATAGCACTGTAACTATGCTGAAACATCAACAGGTAATTTTACTGACAAAAATTATCCTCAAACCACTATCTACTGATCCCTAATTTTAACCGAATCCCTAACTGTTTCAGGTAACTGAAATGGACAACCCGGCGTTCCAGAATGACAACGGTGTTACAAGACACCCGCACCCGAAGAAACAGCTCACCCGAGCCAACTCCACCCTGACACCCACAACCAAGTCGTGGCACCTCACACAAGCCCCGCGGTCCAAGCTGTGCCGCTACAACTCGGTACTTGACACAAAAACCTGCTGCGATGACAACAAGAACAACATAGATGGACCACAATCTCTTGATTATCCGTTCTTTGCCAAGAAGTCACCATCGAAGAATATTCTCAGTGACCACACGATGTGGACATACAACAGGCTGCACGACTCCCCTGTCTTCCAGAAACCCGGAGTGTCTACCATCTACGACCCTCAGTTCTTGTCGTCCAAGTTTGGCTACAGCGGGACACATCATTCCCTAGGGGAGAAAGAGCTGAAGAAGGAATGGTGGCCAGGAGGGCTGTTTGGTGGCTTTAGGTAGGATATAGGCCATTTTTTATTTTACTTTTAAAAGTACAGTTTTGTTGAGGTAGGTTTTTTTGAAGTCAAAATCAAAATCTGACTTAGTCAAAAGAAGAAATATCAATATCATCATGTTAAAAATAAAATTCACTGTTGCACTCTAACAAAAAATTCCTATAAGATCAAAAAGTAAAGCCAATGCTAAGAGACCATAGCACTGGCTTTACTTTTTCATCTAACAAAATTTGTGATACTGTATAGGGAACAGGCAAATGAATGCTTATATTGGTTTAGTGATATTTTTATCTACTCTGTTGGTCTAATTAGATTTAGACTTTGTGTGTTATATTGTTCCTAAAGTTAATTCTAATTTGGTAAAAATTAGGATTTAGAAAGAATACCTATTTTCTTTAGTGTTTGATTGATTCAATCTACGGAATAACCAGACTTTTAGTTATTATCAGTTATAAACTTTGGTACTGCTTAAGCATCACTTTCTTGATCCAATAAATTTTTTACTTACAGTATGACAAATTGAATAGTGTCAAATTAAGGAATATTATCAAACTTTAAAAAAATATGTTAATCTTCATGTCACCAGATGGGAGGTTGGAGAACCTGGTGCTAAGAGGATCAGAACCAGTCAGAAGGTAATAAGATGTAGAGTATATTTTTAAAATAATAAGTGAAAATACAAATTAAGTTATGTTTGTAATTTAAAATTTATAGCATATTTATTATTTTTGGATAAAACAAGCTTTAATAGTTCAAACTCAACTGGACAACTTAGAAAGTACAGGTACAAGTGATGTGCAAGTAGTTGTATTGGATTTTTTTATTACTGTAATTAGATCTAAAGCTTAGGCGGTATATTAAAAGATGCTCATTTAAGATAACTAGTGCACCTGTTCCTCGAATTCGAGCAATTGCAAACTATTGCAGGCGTTATTTCAAAACGAATAACAGTCATAATTTACCTTACGATGACTTAAAAGAGTCAACTGAAAGATAATGTAATCAATCCAGTTATCGAAAATTAAAACGAACTCACTCTGAAAACTAACACTCTTGTGTGTATCATGTGTTTAACATGAACAGCTGTAATTAATACAAATGATTCGTCTGTTTAAGTAAACAAAATATTTTCTTCATAAGAAATACATTGGAATTTTGATGGCCTGAGGGGCAAAGCCCGAGGTCTTTTATTACAGGAATTGGTGAAAGGGGGCGAATTTTGAGACATAGTTTGTAAAAATCCGTCCATTATTAACGGAGGAGTAGTGTTTAGTAGAAATCGCCTTCACGTATTATATATAAGGATTCATTTATGAACCTTCTTGTTCTTTAGCCCACCAGTTTTAATTTTTAGGGTAAATTCCCCTTTAAATTTTCACTTTATTTTCTTTCAACACGTTGATTTTGTTGTATCTTGTTTAGCTACCTATTTGTCAATTATCACTCTAAAATTATTTCTTTAACAATTTTCCTCTTTTCTTTTGACTAATGTTGGGTAATTTTAATTATGTTATTGCTCTAGACAAGTGAGGAGGATTCTATTCCCTCCCGGAATATTCAAGGATCAAATCTAGAGATCTTATAATTTGACACATGGAGTGAGCTAAGTCTGAGATAACCAATAAATAATTTATGTTCTCCGCAGGTGGCTGCCCTGCTGTGTGCTCTAGTGTTGACATTGTTGGCTTCTGGCAATGTTGTGTATATACTCAGGACAGGTAAGTTTCATCCACAACATAACATTACATTATGACATGGACAACAATTTTAATCCTGGTACCATTGATAGCAATTAGATTGTCTAAATAACAACTTTGCTAAACAATTGTATTTAAAAAATTATACAATAAAAAAATCCTTTCAAAAACATACAACTTAGTTCTCTTTCATACAACTATTTAAATTTAACCCATATGTTTAGCATGTCTATGAGAATTTAATGTTCTGTAAACCCTTAAATTTATAAAGCACAGCAAACGTCTAGTATCTTCTAAAACGTAAACCATTAGGTTTTCTATAGATCCACTAACAACCATTACATTTGTTATAGGTGTTTTAAAAATTAGTTGACCATATTGATCATTGATGGTGTGTAGCTAGGTTAGAACATGGGCATTTTACAAACACAACCTATATGATGTTATCTATCAAATCTATAATAGTTGTTTTCTTTTTAAAATTAATTATTTAGTAACTTATTTTCGTGTGTCACAACAGGCAAATTCTTGCTTGTTAATGGTGCAACCTAAAATGAGTAAACATTCACTATTAATTTGCAACCAGCATTAATGATATTGGTATAAATTATGACTAAACAGTACTAAACTTAAACAGCATTGTATTTGTAATAAAGATAATAAATAGTTTAAAATACATACTGTATTTACAGAAAAATACAGTATACCTCCTATTGTACTGTATAAGTTGGATACAGTATTTTATAAACCATAAAACAAGTTAGATATCTATTGAAATGGTTCAGAGAACTTTTGAATCATTAGACTAGAAAAAAAGTTTGTAATACTCAGTGTAAGGACTGTTAAGGAACTAGTGAACCTTAAACACAGCCTCAATCTCAAAGAACCTTAAAGAAAACAAAGTTTTCCAACCTGATGTTGTAAGAGTGGTTAAACAAAGCTCTACAGTACTTCACTTTGTTGTTGATTAACAGTAATTAATTATCAAAACATCGCAGTGCTTCTCAACCTCCTTAACATTCCTAGTGATTTAATTGCCGTAACTATGTTCAATTCTATTCCCCAGTAAGTTGTGATGGCTCCAAGTTCAAGAGTTATAATGAAACTAGATGTTGAAAAGTTTTGAACTTACAATGAGTTTAGTTAGTTTAGGTTTTATCATAAAGATGAATTTGATTAGTGAAGAACATTAGTTGATTATTATTTTTGGAGTTTTACACTAATATTATCAAGAACATCTACCATCTGTAGCTAACATTTAAAGAGTTCTATTCTTTTTCATAATGTTACCTATGGCTGTTTTCACGCCTTGTGAATACAAAGGAACGTACTTTAAATAAAGGAAAAATGTTTTCTTAGAAGAATAACTGTAACTAAGACACAAAAGAGACTCCATAAAAGGAGCTTATTAATTTATAATAATCACATTATAAAAAATAGGACATGTATAATTATTGGAAATTATGAAAATAATAAGTCGGTAATTGAAATAAATGTGTTTTGCAGTTGAAAGGCCACTAGAAAGTCCAAACAAGAGCAATTGGGTTGGTAAGTATAGAATAGAATAGAATAGAATATATATTTATTTTCTTAAAGAACTTAGTACATCTTTTTGACAATTATTGTACATTAATTTTCACTTGAAGTAAAACAAAAAAAAAAAAAACAATTATAGCTTGGTTATAATAAAAATAGACTTGAAATTAAATAACAAGTCTGTTGTTCTCACCTGACAAAAGACAAGTTACAGTGATCTGAAGCACAATAACAATCATTCTGTATGTACAATAAAAGAAACCTTTAAAATTTGAATCTGAGAAAATAATTAGGGCCTCATTAGGCAAAGCCTGTGGTTAAGATTCCTTTACTTACAAATTTAATGTATACACAGAGCGATCATATATATATATATATATATATATATACTTTGTATATATATATATAAACTATATATATACAAAGTATATATACATACAAAGTATATATATATAAATATATACAAAGTATACATATACATTTGTATTGATGTGTTTGGACTTAAATTTCTGTATCAAGAAACTTGTATTTAATTATTTCTAACCGGTCACTTTTTTTTACTGGTGCTTTTACCCATTCACAGTAAAGCTAATACAATAATAATACATTAGTGTTGTTTTAGATTTGAAATTAATAATCTAAACTATGACATTTTTATTTCTTTAGAAAAAATGTGTTGATAAATAACAATTCTGAATAACATGAGTGTTACCTTTGTTCTTTTTAATGTGTATATAAGTGGACATTGCTTTCCAATAACAATTTTTGCCAGTTTTAGACAAATCGACCTAACAGCAACTCGACATACTTTCCCTCATTATCTTTAAGGGGTGTGAGTAACTGTAATATTTTAGGAGTAGTTTCACACAAATTCCAATAACGTTTGAACTGTGATTTTTACAGCATTGGAGATTGTATGATTTTGTTTAAAGTTTAAAGGGCCATAACATACTAAATTATAATCAAAATCTTTTGAAGTGTTTTTGTGAAATTCCAATTTTACAGGTAGGCATATTTTATAGGTTTTATGAGAAAACCCTAATTAAAATCAAAAGAATGATAAAAATGCCTGGATATAACATGGATTAGTACCTGCATACAAAATTTCATCAAAATTGGACCACAGGTGTGGTATGTAATAACCATAGATGAACAGTTTGTTCATGTTTGTTACAGGCTAACAAAAACTATAATGGAGCAAACAAAATGCTAGAATGTAGCACGCTCCTGTGAGAGATTCTTTAAGTTATGCTCTTTTCAAATTAGAGCATACAGCTCTTATTCTGATGGTATGTTTACTTGGGTGTTAAATAATCAATGGTGATGGTGTTACTCTGTTGTAGACGTGGTCCTGATTACTGGAGACTTCAGGATAACCAATGAACCGTACAGACAAACCCTGGCCAACCATTCCTCCGAGGACTTCCAGCAGCTGTCCCACCTCATTAGTCAACAGGTAAACAGTTTACTGAAACAGGGAAGACTACAACTTTTCTGTGTGCCACCATTACATTCTACGAACGCTAGGTTGTAGCTTGGAACTGTTTTACACATTACTTCAGGCTGGTCCTAGATAGATAAAAATCCATTGGTGATTGGCTGGATTTGAACCCGAGACTTCCAACTTTGAACACCCTCTACCACTAGACCAGCTTGATCCCCAGGGAAGAGTAGCATCCATAGCGTAACATAAACATAGCATAGCCACCATGATCCATACAGATTGAGGCAGATTTTCAGGGTGTCAGGATGAAATAGTGGTGTTGCAATATGAAATTTACTATTCAACAACAGGGTTTTGATTGTTCTGATTCCACTTTCTGACATGCAAAACTGTCTGAATCAGACAATTAATTTTAATTTGGGTATGATATGGCATTTAAGTTAATTAGAAACGGATACACAAATTTTTCAGCAAAAAAAAACACTAACTGACAAAAAACAAAAGGTGTACAAAGTTTTTAGCTCTACCTTTAATTTACAAAAAATATTTAGCTATTCCAATTTTTTTTTTCAATATGAGACAGACACATACTAGTCAATACAGTTGTTTATTATTTGTCAAATAATATCTAGATTCATAGGGACAATTTATTGATTGAGATACGGTGGCTGTTTAAATTTATAAAAATCTTTCAATCAAATTATAATATTTTCTAATATCTTTTTATTACATTCCAGTGTTAAACTAATCATTTAAATAGATGCTGATTGCTCTGTTGCTTCTAAAGTGGAGATCCGTTCCAATTGGCAGTGTTGGGAAGTAGCGCGCTACAAGTAGCGACGCTACAGTAGCGCGCTACTTTTTTTGTAGCGTTAGCTGTAGCTACGCTACTTTTAAGATTTTGTAGCTTTAGCTGTAGCTAGCTACATTTTTAAAGTAGTTGTAGCGGAATTTTAGCTACTTTTCTCGCTACATTAACCATGTTTGAGATAGTGATTTTTATCATAACCTCAACCTTACGTGAAACAACCTCTTTCAATATCAAACTGAGATTTTCAAAAAAATTAGGCCTACTTTCTTGGCTTCATACAGCTGGTGGCAGCCGTTTCATTCCCTATTACAACGTTGTGTGGACATGGAGGTCATTAAATGAGTGTTATCCGAATTTTTGGCTCTCATTTCCAATTTACTACTCTATGATTACTGTCAGATAAAATAAAATCGCTAGATGCAGACGACGTTTAAACGTTACCGGTGACAAGAGAAGCTATTGAATCATTGAATGCTTGCAAGTGGTTGGCAGGGAAATTAGTAATCAATTTAGTTTCTTTATTATATCGATAGTGTTTCAACTTGGGTTTTAATGGACACCAACACTAAACCTTAACTTAATGAGAAAGCTGGTCTATCAACCTTTGATTCAGCTGTTGATTGTTGTTCATCATCACAAGCCCTTCCTTGGTTAGATTACGAATATTTTTCAAATGTTTACTAAATTAACAAAGAGGAAATTACCTGATGAGATTTAAGATATGCCTAGACTACATGATGATTGTAACGAAAAATCTCCATATAACATGAAACTTACATTGAAAAATTAGCAAAGTTTGCTCCTGCTAACAGCTCTTGTATCTAGGACTATTCCTAGGCTATGCTATGGTCATTTCTCTTTACAAAATGACTACCTGCGATTTAAAAAAATAATTACAGCAAAAAAAAATTCTTTATAAAACTTTTTTGTTAATAAATTTTAAAAAACATTAGCAAAATAGCGTGAATGTCTTAATCATATCATTTACAAAACCGTTTACAAAACAAAAATCTAATAATAAATACGGAAATTATAAGTGGTACAAATTTGCCGCAGAGGTGCTGCTATCTATCGGGCCAGAAACACAACTTTTTCAGGGATGTTTAGCCTTAAGACGAATACAAAGTTCCAAGTTCAATTATTAGGAATATATCTGTTTAGTCCTTGCAAGAACAAGCCTACTATAGCCAACTTGTTACATAGCCAAGTAGGCCTACATGTTATTTTTACTTTACATTTTTCAACATGTTTAAATTAAAAGCCGATTTTAGGATAAGTTGCTGAATACTGTTTTCTGCACCAACTAGGTTGAAGCACAATTTGCCCTATGCATAATGACAATAAAGGACGATTTCTTGACATAGAAAAGTGTTATTCATAGAACAAGTAACTTATCACTATGGTTAAAAGTTATAGCAATGTCGTTTTTAACATTAAAAATAAAGAAAGGCAATAAACTCCAATTTCAGTAGGCTAGGCTCTGTAACACAAAAAAGTATTTTAAATCATCGTTTTTACAGTTTTATTGGTCTTAATTGTTGATATAAGACATATATAAATGAATCTATATTAAGGAAATAAAATGAGCTTTTAAAATATAGTTTGGTTGTATGTCCTTTGAACTTAATGAAATTTACATATAAGACGCTTAAAAATAATGCAATATTTAAAAATATGTACTAAATATGACGGGGCACCCAACTATTTGGTTCTGTTGTTGTAATGTTAGGTTTATACGCCAACAAATTAAACACAATCTATGAATAATTTGTTTTCCAAGTAATGTTGGATACAATACTGACCTTTTTTGTTTAAATGTTTGTTTAAAAATGTAGTTGCAATTAATTTTACATTTACCTAATGTTCGTAGAAAAAAAAGTAACGTCTTTGGAAAAGTAGCTAAAATTGTAGCTGTAGCTACATTTCATTGTAGCTGTAGTTGTAGCTAGCTACTTTTTCGGAACTGTAGCTGTAGCTGTAGCTAAGCTACTTTTTTGGAAATGTAGCAGTAGTTGTAGCTAGCTACATTTTAAAAGTAGCTTCCCCAACACTGCCAATTGGTTTGATTAATATTCAAAAGAATCCAATTAAGATGTTGTTTGCTAGAAAACTTTTAATTGATACCTCTCCAGCATTTGAGTTGAAGTTTTAATTAAATTTTTCTGTCAGCGGATGGGTGATGATCTCAAATAGTGATAGGGCTGTTTTAATTGGATAAAGCTCCATACTGTTTTAATTGTTTGATAAGGATATATTGAATAATACATCCACACATTTGATTAAGAATTAGTCTCCAAAAAAACCACTCAAAAACTGTGCCTGATAATGCAGCAATTTGTGAAATAATTTTTGATCATATAACTTTTTTAGTGAGTGAAGTTGCCATTACCGTAGGTGGGTAAGACCTGGACCTGAAACTGATTTGCTTTTTCATTTTGAAGTCCCCAGAGCCCAAAAACACTATTCGTCCAAATTTGTATAACATATTAAATAATTATATACATTATACATACAAATATACATTACATTATTATAATATGTATGTAATCTATATAACATGTATAAATATAGAGATGTGTATGTGTCCGTGAACGTGATAACTCGAGTAATGTTGGTCTAATGAAATATGGCTTGAAGGTGTAGGGCAGGATAAACTTGAATGAGTTTGAGAACCAGCAAGATGGGGTCATGGGAACGGGGTACTTTGGTTTAAAAAGGTTCAAAAACCTTTTTTTAAATTTTCACACTTAAAACATAGAAATTCCCAATTTTCATCAAGACCATCTCGTAAAACCTAAGAATAAAATAATTTTGTATTTTGAAGCGTTGTTGTACAATTAAAGGTTTCGAAGAGGATAAAAACTGTATATATTATAATTCCGTTTTATTCTTACTGAGGAAAAAAAATTGCAGTTTGCTTGTTTATGGATATAAGATTTATTTATTTAGTCACGTACTACTACTATTTGGTGAAAATAACACTTTTAAACCTCCCCGTAGCAGCATACCTAAGTACTTGTTAAATATAATGTCATTTAAATGGGGAATAATTTTTTCTTGTTTATGGAAATATTTTAGTAAAAATTCAATTAGACAGATTGTTGAAATTTGATTAGTCTGCAGGTTTGCTGCGGCATTGCATATTTTAATTCGTGATCTAACTATTTGCTTTATGTTAAAAACACTCATGAACAAAGTATCTTTGATAAAAAATTGATGTTTTCTAAGGTTACGTTGTTGATAGATTTTTATCATTAATTGCTGTTGGTTATCATTAATGCAAGAATAGAGGACAATTATTTTGTTTGTTTCTCATAAGCACATTATTGATTTGTAAATTCTAAATATTCTTTGTACAGTAAACTACACAATTTTTTACTGTATAAACTCAAACTAAATATTTATTTAAATGAAATAAAAGTATTAAAACTCTTCTTTTAAAATCAAAACAATAGTGGAACGGTAGAATCCTAAATATATAAAGTGTGATTTTCCCTGTAAAATTGTTCCAAGATTAACAGGTACCCCCCTCCCATGCCTCACCAAGTTTTAATTGTGAACAAGCAAAGGCAAAGCTCGATGTATTTGAGGACAAACCAATGACTAAGCATGTAACAGACTTGATCACAATTCAACCAAGCAGGTAATCCTCGCTGAATGCTGTATTAATTAACCGCTTTGCCACCAGCTCATTCCGTGGGCCTTTGACAAAGCAAAACTACAATTTAACCCCCACAGCTCACAATGTGGTCACTGAGTTCTCCTTCAATACATCGTCTCAAATTTAACTATATTCAGTATATGTATATTGTATAACGATTGGTGTTTATTGATTAACTTTAAGGCAGTAACCAGCTACTGTTCCTACACTGTTGGATACATAATGTGTTGGTCCTGCTTCTTAGAATATTTTTTGTGTTCTTTAAACAAAAATCTTGTTAAATTTTTCATGGACTTAACTACAAGCAGTCGAAGAAGTTTTCAACTATGGAATAATATACCCTCTGTTGAAGATTTGAATAGAAAAGATATGGCTAACTCTTTGATCACCAGAAGCCATCTTTTTAATTAGTTATGCATATGGTATTTAGTATTTTTTCCTCATATTAAAAACACAAAAATTAAAATCATTGTTTAACAAGAATTGGTGAGAACACATACACAGGAAGAAAGAGTATTAAGCTGTAAATGCCTGATCATGGGGGACAATTTGAAACGAATTTGCCCATCCTAAATATTTAAACTAATTTATAACAGATTCACCCATTCCAAAACTCCAACTTGAGCTATCTACTGCTTAGGCTATATTTTGTGGGCCTCTCCCAACAAGCTCTGAGAATAAACTCCTTACACAATGAAATCACGCACTGAACCTGAATGGCATTGCGACCTGATTCAAACCCTTGTCTCCTGGCCAAGGAGACAACTTCTAGATCTGTTTGGCATATATTCACACTGTTTCTAGCATATAGTATTATACTGTTGACAGTTGGACAGCCTGTTCTCGCTGAGTGTGATGTCGGAGCCGTACCACTCAGTGGCCGTCACTCAGTTTGCACCAGGGTTGAGTGTCCAGTGTCAGATCGTGCTACGCGCCGCCACTCACCTCACGGCCAGCAAGGTGGGCTTGGCGTTCATCGGAGGACTGCGCAACCAGCACGGGCACGTGTGGCTCGGCAACTTCACTGTGGATATACAGTCAATTGGGTTTCAAGGTAAGATATGGTTTAACTAGCCTGTTGCTACTGAAGTAGAATAATGATAAGACATGAATTCAACTTTTTGCACGGAAAACAAAACATTTAGAAATAAGTGCAAGTTAAGGTCCTGAAAAAATTAGGAATCAGGGATATAAAAAAAGTACTATCTAATCTATGACTTAATAATGGATAGGTACCGGTAATTTGAAAATTTTATACAGAGATCTTATACAGAGACAAGTTCTTGTTCTTTCGTAGACAAATAAATATTTGTTTACAACACCCGGAAAATCTTACTAATTGAACAAATATGTATAAACATAATATTTATTTTATTACTTTCTAACAGCGAGCAACGACGCGGTGTCGTGGACGGGCTGGTCGGAGTGGGGAGAGTGTCAACACACAGTTGAGTTTGGCTACGTAACCCTGCGATCCCGCAACTGTTCGCTGCGTAGCGGGACGTACCTGTACAGCACTCTACCCTGTCTGTTGGTGCCTCACAGCGACGGCAACCTAGAGACAGCTCCCTGCGCTTCCCCAGAGACTAACCAGCTCTCTCAGTACCTCAACGACTCTACACAATCACAGAGAATGTTCCGGATCACCAAAGCAGACATGGACATCCGCAACAGGCCCAAGAATGAAAGTACAGAACTTAACGTTGCTGTTGCTCCTGAAACGAATGACAAAAGTAAGGAAATACTTTATAGCTTCATGCTTGTATTCAAATTATAAACTTTGCAATATTATCAGAAACTGAGAAAAAATATCTAGGTTAATTTTCTGAATAGATTATTACAGAATTGGAAGACTGGGTTGGGTAGCTAGGAGGCAGTTATTGTTACCTTAGAATCTGAAGGTTGCTGGTTTTTTATTTTGAGTAAGATCAATAATTATGGGCCTGGATGAAATTTGTCATTCAGCTACCAATTAATGATTCTCTCTACAAAAGATCAATACTAGATAGTAACAAGACCAGGGTTTGGACCACGTATTTGATAAATAATCCATCTGTTCATATATCTGATGGATGATGATGTTGATGACAGATGCCAGTGGACCGTGTGCGTGTGGTCCTGGGGAAGTGTGTGTAGCACTACAAGAACATTCTGTGCCACAGTGTCTGTCTATACTTGACACTACAGACCCGACGGGCTGTGGAGGACATTGCAAGATCAACACCCAGCTCTGCCAGAAGATGAGAGACAATGCTTATAGGTATTTTTCCAATCATATGTAACAAATTGAAACAGAACGATCGAGAGCTGCAAAACCATTTCGGTCCGTGGTACGAACGCTATTTTTCACCACACTATACCCTATTACCACTATTCACCACAATAATAATGCACACTGATAGTCAACACAAATACAACTTTAAGGTTATGTGAAGAAATAATTTGAGGAATTAGCAAAAATAATAATAAATAGTTGCTAGGCAACGGTGACGATAAAGCAATTCTATTGCAATGCTATGGATACTGATTGTGTATTTCATGTTTTAAGAAAGTAAGTGGGCAGCTGATTTTGCGGCCCTAGGGATGTAAAAACCTGCTCGGTCCCCGAATAACGATGACTGCTGGCATGGCCAGTAAAACGTAACTTTCAGCCACCAATTAACGTATGTAAAACAGCTAAAAACATCATAGTGTGGTGAAAAATCTATTTTGTCACTCTACAATATTTTTGATTATGTATATGTGTTGGTATCGAAATTGGACATGTTTCGAAGGGGTTAAAATTGATGTTTTTTTTTACAATTGTTAAGCCTCAAATTGTCGATCTTTCATAATTTTAGGAGAACTGCTTTCATAACAGTATTCCAGATTTTATGCCTACTCAAGACTGATTTTGAATCACAAACTAAATATAGAAATTGTATTCTATAATATTTAAATGTGGTGTTTAAAATCTAAAATCTCATAGTTATCATGATGACAATATTTTATAGTTTCTCATTTAATAGTTTACTGTCCACAGGTGTGTTGACGACTCCAAGTGTTTGGAAGACGAGTGGCAGTGCGGCAACAAACTGTGCATCCCACTCAGTAAGCGGTGTGATGGTCACTTCAACTGCTATGATCACACTGATGAATTTGACTGTGGTATGTTTGCATTTGTGGTCTCAAAGTAGCTTTTATTAACCGATTCCAAAAATATTCAGTTGCAATTTCCTCGTTGAATGAATCCAAAATATTTGTTCCATATTTAATACCTACAAATTGATATTAACTTTTAGCACTGCTATACTACACTAATTTATACTATTTATTTATCACATTTCATTTTTACATAAAAAAAAAAACACTGCATTAGGTTTAACTACATATATACACTTAACAATATGCATGGCTAGTGAGCATACTAAAATGAAATTACAGGATTAGATTTTTCATACGTACTAAAATTTAAAGATGGGCCCTTATGAATGTAGACAGAGTGTGATCTCTTTGGTCCTTATGACGTAAGATAATTTTTACATCTATTTTAGAAAAAGGTATTGGTTCTTCAACTTCATTTCTCTTACTGCGGTACCGGTAGTCTAAAAACAATTTTGTTGTAAAAAAGTACAAGGTTGCGAAAAAGCAATGGGTTGATTTAAAAAAGCTAAAAGTATGATGAACGATTAAGGTCATCTCTAGTGGGCTGCTTGTCTACCACTGTGCCTGAATTGTCTGGACTCTAACACCCTGTTTTCATGAAGGAGCAGTTACTTAGAAACATTGAATTTGCACTTTTTTATAAACTATTCCTTTGTATTATCCTTGTTTGACCATCATAGAGTAATTTTGTTCAAACTCTGGTTCAGCAACAGATAAAATATTTATATAAACGCTAATCCAAATGGTGGCAAATCATGAAAGCACTATTTTAGAGAATCAATCAATCTTAGTCCCAATCTCTCGACAATGCAGCATACAGCCCAAGACTCAATGTTTCTTGAATTACTTGACTGCTGAAACACGATGGCCAAATTGTGCTACGGAAACCATCTTAGTGATTTGCAGTTTGCTAGACACAACCGTCATTCACCATCTTCTACAGAAGGTAGTTTCAAACCCAAACCTTTAGTTTTGTGCTAACCCTGTTTACTTAGAGTGATCCAAAACGCAAATAAATATATGTCCGAGAATATTTTTGGTCTTAAACAGAAAAAGATTCTTGACATCCCTCCTACCATTTCCAAAATTAAACCCCCCAAATTTGGTAAAAAAGCCCACTTCGAAGTACTGTTGTTCAACATTTTAGGATTTTTAATTATCACCTACATTTTGATATGGCACTGACTAACATGGTAACATTGAGGATGAGCAAGTTATGGTGTGTGGCAGATTGCAACTTGACCTCCCACTTTCAGTGTGGCAAGCGCATGTCGTGCCTGCCGCTCAGTAAGCGTTGCGACGCCATCGTCGACTGCTGGGACGCAGCTGATGAGCTCAACTGTACTATCCGTAAGTGATGCTGTCTGTCGCGCTTGGCTGTGGTTGCACCTCTACTTGCACGTCGCACACATTCTTGCATCTTGCCAACTTTGTGTTTCAGTGATTATCCATGTTGTTTTGTTAATATGTGTGTTTTGTTTGAAAAAAACAATTATTTGTGTTTTATCATATATTGGGGTTAATAAAAAATAGACTGTTTCGATGTACGTAGCTCAATATCTTCCATCGTTGTAAACCGTTGTTACTTACTTATTTTTCTTAATCACATTATTTTCATCTTACAATTGACAATTGGTTGCCATGCATTGCTCCCAGTTCCATATTGGAATCCCAATCCAGATGTGTAAAATTACAACTATAATTCAACATGTTATATCACTAAACGGCAGGATTAATCCCAGTTTGTGGCAGCACATTCTTTCTGTATCGTACATCAAGAACAAATTAAACCAACGGACAATGTCTTCAACAGAGTCTTCCAGAAATGGTATGGACAACATAGTATAGCATGAGATGATGTTGGGAAACTTGTGAAGCTTGTAAGGGATGCTTTACTGCGTCAGCCATGGTGTTTCAATGAGATGCATATGCAAACGTATATAATCATTTCCGAGGTGAACACTAATTTCTCAGTGCGTGTTTACCACTAGCTAGGGTGCTACAAATTTTGTGCTATAGATATCATAGTGATATCACCAACCTTGTATAAAGCCACTCCTCTACTATTTATCATATAGACGTCCTTTCCAATTCCAAACTTTTTGTTAAAATATTTATCGAAATAAGTTTCATGTCAGTTGCAAGGCTTCATAACGATCATATTGCTGAAATAAAACAGTTTTCATTGGTGATACATTAACAGTATGTATTCTTTATTGTTTCTCTTAGGGGTCTGTATCAAAATAAAGGTATTTTTAATTTTTTTCTGACCTGTTGGCCGTCATTTTTGTAAACTACCTCAAAATTCATTATTGGCTGAAAGAAACGGAACATTACCTATACTATCTTTCTTCAACATATTGCATTTGCAGCTGATGTGTGGTTCGGTTTTTATTGTCAACATGTGTTTTATTGCATGGAGTGACTCATTTCAAATGCTTCAGTGTGTTAATGTTTAAATATTTCATTTTGAACTAGAAATAGCTTACAGTTGTTACTCCTGTTGTGCATGAGTGTTATGGAAAAGTATGCAAAAAGGTGCAAGTCTAAAATTTGGTATTTGAATTCAATAGCAGTGGCTTTTAGGGGCGGAAACCACAGACTAGTTTTCATAAATTATTTGTATAACTTAAGCAATTGATTATTATTCTCTGACAGTGTTTCAAAAGTGATGTTCTTGTTTAAAATACTTTTTCAAAAGGTTTTTTGTGAGGATGCAGGCATGCTTGCAGATTGTTAGTATTTTCCATTGATAGTTAAATAAGTTTAAGGCACAGGAAATTTCATAGATTTATAAGTACTAGTGTTTCATGTAACCCATCACTTTCTCTTTTATGTTACAGTACCTACATTTTTGTGTCATTTTTTGTAGTACATTTTTCTAGCTTACATTTGGTGTTAGTTATTCAAACTAAATCATTCCAGATTGTGTGTCATTTTGTTCAAGATCTCAGACGATTGAGATCAGTGATAGTGATGATGACTTCTATATTCAAGGTTGAGCATGTGTCTTGTATTTAATTAATGCTGTTGTTTTTCAGACTGTGTGGGCCAGGAACAGTTTACTTGTAATGACAGCCAGTGTATACCTAACCACAGGTTCTGTGATGGTTTCCCTGACTGCAAAGACCACTCGGATGAGCCCTTTGGTTGTGGGGGGGACTGCAAAACCCACGAGTGGAAATGCAGGTAACTTATTTATTTTAATACCTACTTATTTCCCCAATAGTCCAGTCAATAAAGGGATTGTAGAGGACATGGAGAGGGGGAAATTTTTTTTCTGCGGGAATGTGTTCGGGGTAGTTAGAAGATAAAAATACCAAAAGTCCCCGCCCCTGGCCCTGCTGCTTCAGCGGGGGGAGGGGGGGAAAGACCCCATTTTTTAGTTTTTTACTTCTACACTGAAAACCGTGCATCGTACGGAAAAAATGTAAATTATAAAAAGAAAGATGAAAAAATTCTCTACAAGAATGGTCATATTCATTTCTTCCGTATATGCATTAGTTTAAAAGATATTCTCAAAATAATATAAATATTCTTAAATAAATTGATTTTTCACACGTCTTTTGTCAAATAAGTTTATATAATCCATTAGCCTGTTGTTGTTTCACATTAATCGGGATAGAAAACAGGTTTTTGAACACTAACCTATATAATATAATATATCAATCGTATATATTGTGTTAAAAATAATGTATATAAATTTAAATAAATTATGTATATTTGTCATGGTAACAAGTAATTTTGGCATAATTATTACACTAAAAATTAAAAAGATGATGTTTGTAGCTATATTATATATATATATATATATATATATGTATATTATACACCAGGGAGTATTGCATCCACCTTGCATGCATATAAATATCAACAATTCGTATGAAAGGGGTGACATAACCGTATCTATATCATTATTATAGATATTTTTTAAGTTAATATAAATAATATTTATGCTTAGAACATAATAAACTCTTTAATTATATATTACCCTCATACATGAGCCCAAAAAGTTTTATTTGAGACATAAATAAGGTCTTTCAGAGAATTACTTCAAAAGATACAGCAAGAAATCTAAATTTCCAAGATGGCGGCAGATTTTTTCAAAATGGCGGCCGTTCCCCAACTGGGATTTCTTGGGACTTTGTGTGGGCCACTCAGGACATTGTTTTGAACATTACCTCCAATTTTCAGCCTGTTATCAATTTTGTCCGGGTCATAACCTAATTGCACTGGACTAATAAATTTAAACTATACAATATCATATACAAAGATAGTTTCTAATCAGAACTCCCCCCCCCCCCAAGGGACTGCCACTAGTCAGTAGATATTCATTTGAACAGATACACCAAAATTATAGTAACCAGGAACAGTTAATCCCTTAACCAAGTTTTTTGCAAATGTACTCAAGATTATAACAGTGCCAGATGTGCAATTTGTGCATGCAAGAAAATGTCCAATAAGTGTTCTCCGTTATGCCAGAACTGCTAAGGGATCTTTTTACATGAAATGCCTATTCTGATGAATGAGGAAGATGAAGAATATACATGCCTACACCGAATTCTCACTTTGATGGCCAATATTGAGTCTAATCAACAAGAATTGAATAATGGAGATGTCATAGATGGTGGTTTTCAGTTCCAGATGGCACCAGTTTTTGGGACAGAAGTCGGACCCTCTCGTCCCAAGTGAGCCAGACCATGAACAATAATATTAAGTCTTGGTTTCGGTAATTGTTATAAATAAACCTGGACAAATATAGCTACAAACATAATCTTTTTAATTTTTAGTGTAATAATTATGCCAAAATTAATTGTTTCCATGACAAATATACATAATTTATTTAAATTTATATAAATTATTTTTAACATAATATATACGATTGATATATTATATTATATAGGTTAGTGTTCAAAAACCTGTTTTCTATCCTGATTAATGTGAAACAACAACAGGCTAATGGATTATATAAACTTTTTTGACAAAAAACGCGTGAAAAATCAATTTTTTTTAAAGAATTTTTATATTAGTTTGAGAATATCTTTTAAACTAATGCATATACGGAAGAAATGAATATGACCATTCTTGTAGAGAATTTCATCATCTTTCTTTTTATAATTAACATTTTTTCCGTACGATGCACGGTTTTGAGTGTAGAAGTAAAAAACTAAAAAATGGGGTCTTTCCCCCCCTCCCCCCGCTGAAGCAGCAGGGCCAGGGGCGGGGACTTTTGGTATTTTTATCTTCTAACTACCCCGAACACATTCCCGCAGAAAAAAATTCCCCCTCTCCATGTCCTCTACACCCCCCTTTTGAGCATTCATTGACTGGACTACAAAGGAACTAGGTGTCTGGAATCCCTCCTAATTTTTTTTTTTTTTTTTAGCTTTAACTGTCCAATCATACTTCAGGGTTTTTTTAAAGCAACCAAAACAGTTACAACTACCATGAGACACTTTTTAACTACAAACCAGCGGACGTGGGGTAAACTTGTGTATGCTTACTTTCAAAAATGTTCAAATGGGCTGTATGGCAAAAGAGCAATATTATAAACTTGTCACTCATTATTAACAGATAAAAATTAGATTAATGAGGTACCTTCCTTTAAACTGAAAACTAAAGTGTTGAGTAGGTGAATCCAGACGAGTTTTCTTCTGCTGGCCAGCTATCGCATAGCTCCAGTACGCGGACTGACAGTCCGGTAAAAAAAAAATAAATAAAAAATAAATCTATATATATAAAATCCAATGTATGTTTGTTTGTATGTATGTATGTATGTTTGTCCTTTATGGACTCCGAAACCGCTCGACAGATTGTAATGAAACTTTCAGGCATTATTAAGCATTATTCAAGGATGGTTTGTGTGAAGTTTGGTGCAGATCCGTCAAAAGGGCTCCGCCCCAGTGGCTCTGAAGTTTTCCATGTTAACCTTATGAGTACTCATATTTAAATGTAATTTAAGAATCTTAACAGCTGGTTCAACTAATCAATTTGATTCTGTGATGCTCAATATAGTATTAAAAAGTTAATAGGTTTACCAACAGGGTGCAGCACTATTTTTTTTTTTATTTATGACAACAGCTAATTTGCAACCAAAAGGTGAGTGAGCGTAGCGAACAAACTTCAACCTGGAGGCGAGTTAGCATAGCGAACGAACTTCAACCAGGACGTGATTGAGCCATGCGAACAAGCTCATCTTGGAAATGAACGAGCTTTTGACATAAAACCACATTAGGACAGGACGACGTCTGTCGGGTCAGCTAGTAAAAAATAAAACTGAACATGTTTATTTTGCAAGCTCAAATAGGATATGTATTGAGTAACTTAGGTCTCTATTTTAGTCTTTTTTACAGTCCCGGTGTACTTAAATTTTGGCAATTCTATGAATAGTTGATTTTTAGGTAGGCCTACTGGAATCACACCTAGAAACTTTAATTCAAACCCTTAATTTCTTGTCATAAAATCAATGATTTACTTTCAATATATAAAATACTCTTTGAGCTTGCAAAAAAACCTTGTTGAGTCTTATTCACAATATATTCCCAATAACACTACAACTCATAGATAACTATGCAACAATGCATATCAGCTGATTGACAATGAAGTAAAAAAACAGGGATACCATCATATGAGCTTTTTTTGTCATAGTTATTTGTAATAATACACACAATAGTTATTTGTGTAACTAGTGAGCAAAGTGGCACATTGCTGCAAATAAGAGCAACGTTTACGTTTGGAGTGCAGCAAAGGCCTTTTGCACTCGTGTTACATATTATATTTTTCCTACAGTCACTATAAAGCATATAAATAATTAGTCTTTCAAACACTATACAACACGTTTTTAGGTTCAGCTGGCAACACAAATAGGTGCCCTAGAGAAAGTAGTCACCAAGAAAGTACTTCATGGTAACATGCAGTACTTCATGGTCCATATCACTCCGCTATTTTGTCCTCGGCAAGCAATGTGCTCCGCGACCTGAGAAAATAGTTCCGTATGTTTTTGTAATTTGAAGTGGTTTCCGCGCCTAAAAAATGCTTTAAAGGTATTTTCTTGTTTATTAAGATCGTAGGAATGTTTTTAAAACGTTTAAAAGAAAAGTCCAGGAAGTTTAGAAATACCGAAACTATAAACACGAAATGACAGGTTAAATCTTAGTTATAATACTCAATCAGCTGCTCATAGTATTATTATCTTTAAGTGTTGCCAACCTATTTCCAAGCGTACACGGATTACGTGCATAATAGAACCACGCTGTTTTGTGTTGTTTCGTTGGAATCCTGATGTGCGCCAAAGTATAAACCGTACACAAAGTATAAATATGCAGCAATTAGCAGCTTTCTGTACTATTTTTTTTTTTTTTTTTTTTTTTTTTTTGAGAGGAGGGAAAATGCTTTCACGCACACAGGTAGCCAGCCTGTAGTGTGAGACTCCTGAAAATTATCAGACTACTCACTAAAAAACCCCCTCTACTCTGTTGGACACAGACCTGGAATTGTTTGTACTATAAACAGTACAAGGAAGCCAACTTTGTCAGGTGACTGTAGGAAAAAGTATCTTGCGGTACTTGTAATTTGGGTTGAGTTTTAAAAAACCCCATGTAGATAATTTGTCAGCAGAAGGACAAAGAGTAATCAAGCTACTTTGGTTTCAAAGTCTTCAATTTTGACCTATGTGATAACAATTATTAAAACATTTCTGTGTATACTGTGGCCTACCTGGACTATTTCTAAGGTAGCTACTATCTCTCCAATCAAAAATCTCAATCCTCACCTACACCCTTTCAACAAAACTGTGACGACTGAAAGTTTCATTGCGTTGTTACTGTTTCAGCAACAGCCGTTGTATCCTCCAGACTAAGAGGTGTGATGGACAAAACGACTGTGGCGACGGCTCGGACGAAGCTGAGTGTGTCAATGTCACGCCCGAGTAGCACTACACCAAAGACTCACACAAGATCTCTCCTTACTCTACATGTTGTTCCTAGTCATGATATTTAAAACATTTGAATTTTTATTTAAAAATCTAATTTGACACGTTCTAACGAGTTCAGCATTAATTTTAAGTGTAATTAACTTATTTTTTCGCTATAGAGTATATTGTGAACATATTTGATATGTGTTATTTATTCATTGGACCGTCATAGCATTACTATGACAAGTATTAAAGTAAAGTATAAGTAAAGTTAAATAATTGTTCATGTCAGTGATTTTAAAAATCGGTATTGGTAAATTTGGTTACTATGATAACGTTGATTATACATAATCATAACAATTGTTTAGTAACTTCCTTAAAGTATACGGGAATTTAGGACATGGTTACCTCCCAGCTATTGTATGAAATAAATGTTATGATCTTCCTTGCAGATTATAAATTTATTTACTTTTCACTTTTATGACAATTTTTGTTTCATCTGTTACAGAACACTGTCTATAATAATACTTGTGGAGGAGCCTTAGTTTTTTGCCTACCCAAGTTATTCTGATCAAACTTTTACCATAGACCTGGAAAGTCTTATTTTACCATGACATGATACTGTATAAAATTAAAAATATGCAACTCTTTTACGTACGTACTTCTAATAATACGTACTTCTAATAATACGTAATGATGTTTGATGCAGAAGTTTGAACAAAGTGTGTACTTACAGTTCAGTCTATTATTCTCATTGAGATATTTAACGTACAACCTTGTAAAGTTTCCTAATTTTGTTCAACCATTGTAATATGTTACACTTTTTAGATGATAGAAGTTATTTCTTGATGCATGTATGAAACGAGCTAAAAGCATCTACTTAAGTGATACTCCTCTTGAAAATCACAATAAAATTTATTAATGCTAAACAATCTTCATTGCAGATAAAGTTTAAACTTTTATATTTTACTACTACTTGTTAATCTATCAAAACTATATGTGCCCTATGAATGATGTTGTTAATGACCTACATTGAAGTTGTACATCTATGGTTGATAATAATTTACATTATTTTTGTAGTTACTATTTTACATTATTTATTTTTAGGAATATGTATACATTTATGTGCCCTACTGTCTTAATTAATTATTTACATGTAACCAACTCTATTTAATCATTGTTTGACTTAAAACGGTTTTATTTTAATTTTATTTCTTGGGGACAGATACAGATCAAATTTTTGAGAGGGCCGTGGGTTTATATTTTTGAAGTTTTATAACGTCTCTATATGTAAAATTCTGTTTCAAATTATTCGTAGGACTTAGGTAAATTTGGTTGTGAAAATTTATTAGGAAAGCAGAATTGATCCATGTTCACCTTCTCTTGCGTTTTTAAAGAACGTTTTACGTTTTTGTGATCCCACATAGCCTATCTCTTACTGGATTAGTCCCTGAGATTTTAATAAGAATGTTTAATCCATTGTGTCTTACTTACTCATATATATCGTGCTATACTTGTTATCATAATGAAATTAAACATAACAATATCAATTCAAACACTTGTCCTAACCCACCTGGATAGTGAAGTAAACTAGGTATAATCCATATGTTAGCTAAAAACCAAAGATTTGTATACTCTAAATTAACTATTTAATTGTTTGGCAAGCTATGTTATCCAGAGTTAGTTCCTTATCTTATCTGGCATCTGAATACCTACATCAGTTTTCTATAGAAATTTAATGTTTTTTGTGTTAATGGCTGCCTCCAAAATTGAATCATTTCTTCTGATGTGCCATCATTGATATCCCTGAAAGTGAAACATAAAATTTATTTATTTTTATGTATTTTAGCTTATTTATTTAACATAAAATTGCTCCAGGGAAGCTAAAATCACCGTTGCAACAAGCAGTCTACATTTGATTTGTTTTCCTGAAAATTTATAAAATCTGACGTTTTTTAGCTATTTAGCTTTTTCAGCCTTCTGTTGTTAAAAAAAGGTTTAGCAATATTGAATTTGTCTAGTTAAGTTTCAAATAATATTTTAATGATAATTTTGGAGGCCCAGTAAAACACCTACTTATAGAAACAACTTTTTATCAAATAAGAAACATGATACTTTTAAAATAATGTTTTCAAATTTTAAATTTTACTATGTTGTAACAAAGTGTGGATTAAGATAAAGGAGTTACCCGAATAGACTAAGAATGAATAACATGCTCATATACTGTTAAGGTAATGTATTTTTAAAACAATAAACCTTTTTATCCAAAAAGTCTCATGTATTTTATCCTATATCTTACAGTTGAGTCTTGGCGAGTGCCTTTAAAACTTCTACCAGTGTGTTAAAGTATAAAGTACTTTACCTATGACTTTTTTTTAATTACTAATAATCACTACTCTTAACATCTAAGAGAGGTTATGTTTTAATTTATAACCTCTCATTTCCACTGATTGTAATTTGTAACACAACAACGATTTTCCCAACCACTCACACTCATTGTATAATCAATTAAATTGGCCTTAATAGTCAGGTTGGGTAGCAGGAAAATATTTCAGTTCTGGCGGAGAGGCTGCAATTTTAGGTGGTTATAGTATACAAGTTTCTGAACCTAAAACCGCCCAGACCCCAATTTTTAAGGACCTCAGTCGTCCATAATGACGTCATCAAAATGGCGGCCGTAAGAGGATGCTGGGTCCCCATGAATTGGCTATAATGACCGAATGCCTGAACCGATTTTCATGAAATTTGGCACACAAGTGCTTGAATACATTATCTCGGCCTGGGTTGAAAATGGTCAAGTTTCATCAAGTCATTTCAAAATAGCGGCCGTTAAAACCTAAAATTAAAAAAAAAATCATTCAGTGTTTTGTGTTCTCAACTCCCTCCAGAGATCTGCAGCAACCTATTCACTTGCCTTGCAATAAAAGGTTGCATTACCGTCTCTGCATTTCATGGAATAGGCAAAATACCCCCAGTTCACTTATTCTCCATAAGAATAACATGGGACTTTTAAATTTAAAATTTTTTGAATTTTCTCGGTTACCGTTAGGCACATAATGACACTTCAATATACTAAATTATTTGTTTTTTTTTTTTAGCTCCACAATATGGTTTGGAAAGAAATTGCTAAATCTTATGTTTTTGGGTCCAAAATGGGAAAAACCAAATTTCACCCCATAAAACCCCCCATAAACCCCAGTTCCCATACTCCGATCATGCAGGTTTGAATAAAAAATTAATTGGTATCTTCTACCTTCACATGCATACCAACTTTCATAAAAGTTCAGTCAAAATTATCAAAGGATAAAATAATGAAATGTATAATTAAATTTACAAGTTCAACAAGGCCAATATATAATAAATTTATTTTATTTGATTTTTATTGGCCTTGTTGAACTTGTAAATTCAATTATACATTTCATTATTAATTGCCAATATCTCCAATATAAGTTATAAAGGATAAAATGTTAATGAAAAACATATAAAATGATGGATATCTATTAACGAAGCGATTTTGTAAAAAAATGTTATTCCTTATGTTCTTCTTATTTTGATCCAATGAATCAATTCGTAAACTTTGTCCCTACCTTTTTTGAACACACTGTATATGTGTGTGTCCGTTAGCAAAAATTATCCGATCTTAATGAAATTTTGCAAAAACGTGTAAACCAATGTTTCTTTGAACAAGTTCGCGAACCAGCGTGGTCGGACCATGGCAACGAGGTTTTTGGGGTGATTTAACCCATTGGGGAAGGAATTAATGCGCTACCTGCAGCACCCTCTGGCAACAATTAATTTTACCGAATTTGTAGACTTTTACTCTAACTGCTATAGAAAGAAAACCTTAGGTAATAAATTAATAATTCTTTCACCATTTTGTTCACAGTAAAATTGTCTACAGAAAAGTGGTAATTGGATAGTCAAAGTTCTAAACTAAAAAAAATATATATATAAAGATTATAAAAATTTTAAAAACAATATTTTGAAAGTAAACTTGATATACAAATTCCAAGATTAATCCAGACACCAAATAACACTACAATTATAAAGTTCAATCGATTACCTACGTAGAAAAATCAAAAGTTGTGTACTTTTATAAGTAACTAGCTGTACCCGCGGGCTTTGCCCCGTTTAACTTCATATGTGAGCTCGTTCGCATGGCTCAATCACGTCCTGGTTGAAGTTCGTTCGCTACGCTCACTCACCTTTAGGTTGGAGCTCGTTCGCTGCTCTCACTTGCCTTCAGGTTAGCTTGTTCGCTACGCTAACTCGCCTCCGGATTGAAGTTTGTTCGCTACGCTCACTCACTTTTGGTTTAAAATTAGCTGTTGTAAAATATTACAAAAAAAATAGTGCTGCACTCTGTTGGTAATCCTTGTAACTTTAATGCTATTTAACATCATAGAACAGAACCAACTTGTTTAATTGAAACAGCTGTTAAGATTCATTAATTTCATTTAAATATGAGTACTCATTAGGTTAACATGGGAAACTCCAGAGCCACTGGGGCGGAGCCCGAGAGTCCGATCAGAATAAAAACCACTTAGTTTTCCTATTTAATGCCTAAAGAATCAGTGTACCAAATTTCAGCCTTCTAGGTAAGTGGGAAGTGGGAGAATTAGTGATGAGTGAGTCAGTCAGTCAGTGAGGGCTTTGCCTTTTATATATATAGATAACATTTTTTTTTTATTGTTTGTTTACCTTAGCGCAGCTGATTTTTGGTGATATGTGGTTCCCATGGCAACACAAAAGTTTGTTATTCGCTAAAATAAAAGAGTAAATACGCAAATCAAGAATCAAGATATTTATAAACATCATAATAGTAAGAAAAAACTAAAAGGGCGAAGAAAAATAATAATAACTAAATAACTAATGGCGCTGCCTAGCGGTGACTTGAGCGGCACTCGTAAGTCGGCCGCCGGGCCTGCAGCGGCCGTACGAGTGACGCTTGTAAGTCGGCGCCAATGGGTTAAGGGGTAAAAATTGGGTTTTCTTATGTTTGAACCTCATGTTTGACCCTCAAAACATGAAATTCCCTAATTTTTCTCTAAACTATTTTGAAGATCTTAATCAAACAAATAATTTAGTGAATTGAAGTGTTTTTATGAGATTATTGGTTACGGAGAAAATTCAAAATATTGTAAATTTAAAACTCCTATGTTATTATTACGGAGAGTACATAAACTGTTGTAGTTTGCTTGTTTATGATTACATTTTTTGAAACATGGCAAATAATTTATGTTAAACTAAGCTATTAATATATTAATAAAAACTCACTTTATTAATCTCCTTGTAGCAGCAAACCTAGATACTGTACTCATCCAACCTAATGTTATTGAAATTGATTTAATTGAAAATCAAATCAGGGAAATTGAAACTCACTTAATCTGCAGGTTTGCTGTGGTGGGGGTATTTTGCCTATTCCATGAAATGCAGAGACGGTAATGCAACCTTTGATTGCAAGGAAAGTGAATAGGTTGCTGCAGATCTCTGGAGGGAGTTGAGAACACAAAACACTGAAAGATTATTTTTTATTTTAGCTTTTAACGGCCACCATTTTAAAACGACTTCATCAAACTCGACCATTAACAACTTGGGCCGAGATAATGTATTAAAGTACTTGTGTGCCAAATTTCATAAAAATCGGTTAAGGCATTCGGTCGTTATAGCCAATTCATGGGGACCCAGCATCCTCTTACGGCCGCCATTTTGATGACGTCATTACGGACGACCGAGGTCCTTAAAAATTGGCGTCTGGGCGGTTTTAGGTTCAGAAACTTGTATACTTATAACCACCTAAAATTGCAGCCTCTCCGCCAGAACTGAAATATTCTGCCACTATATGCAGCTATAACAGCTAATGAGTAGATGTTTGAAGCATCAAAATTTTACTACTTTTCTCTTAATCCTTGAATATCATTGGTCCAAACTTGTACTGTAAAGTAACAAAAAAATTCTGTTAAGGAAGTAAAGTGAATCTTTTTAATCCCAAGAACTGAATTGAATTGGCTAGTTTTAAAAACAGTTGTAGGTAAAATGTAGGTAAATTGTAATGTTTACAATACTTGTTTGTTTATTGGTTTGTTACAAATCTTCACAATAATCCAAAGGAGCTAAGAATCAAAACACAAAGATAATTAAAACGTTATATTTTACAATATATAACGTTATATTTTACAATATATACCAAAGTCAACGTTACTCAGCCATTTCAACATCTTCTGGCTCTTCAAATATCTTCTTGGAAACTGATTTGCGAGGGGTATTCCTGGTCGGCCTTGCCACTCTATCTTTTACTGCTGACTTTGTTTTCTTGCTTGATTCTGTTAACTTTTTAACAGACTGTTTCTTTTCTTCTGGAGTTCTCCTGATTGGCTTTGGAGTTCTCAAAGATCTTCTTGGATTCACCCTTGTTACCTTAGGGGATTCTTCTCCTGGTCTTGAAGCTTCTGAATGTTCTAGTTCTTCTTCTTTGGAGACTTTATCTTCGGATTTTACTTGTGTACTTTTCCTAGCAGATTTTTTAGTACTTGCCTTTACAGTAACTGTGTCATCACTTTCTTTGTTTACTGATTCTTTATTTTCATCATTTTCTTCTACCACTACTTGAACAGATTTCTTTGATTTTACTGTTTCTGATTTATTGACCAAACTTGGTTCTACTTCTTCACTTGTTGTCAGTTGTTCACTTTCTTCTGTCATAGTTTCATCTTCCATTGTTGACTCACTTTCTGCACTGTTCAGATTGTTTTCTACATTAAGTGCTTCAGGTTCACTTATTGTATGTTGATCAAACAATTTGGTTAATTCTTTTTCCGATTTCTTACTTTTTGAACTACTTAATTTCTTCTGCGGTTTGGAACTACTTTCCTCAGGCAATTGTTTAGCTTCCTTGGGAACCTTAAATCTTTCAAATGAACCATCTTTGGACCACATACATACTATTTTTATTTTAAATTCTGCCATTTGTTTTCCAATCAATTTCTGAAACAAAATTATTTGATAAATAGGAAGAACAGGATTTGTGGAAAAGTAATATACAAAGTGTAAGGGCGGTTAAATTTATAACATCGGCTACCATCCCTACCATTGCAGCAAAATGAGGACTATACTGTGACAAAGAACTCTATCATCATAACCTGCGCTCTTGTAGCCAACGTTGTTAACAGTTTGATGTGACACTGTATTATTGTCGAGTGAGACCATCGAAGCCTTACTTCTAAAATGAAATTAATTTACAGCTTCACTGATTTTA